TTACACAGTAAATAATTAGTGTCTGTTTGTTGCTGCGCTTCAGTTATCATCCCAATAAATGGTCGTTATTAGCAGCTATCAGTCCTTTAGAATGGCTTCAGATTGTTCCAGTGGGCTCAGCAGGCTGTTAATCCTCATCCTTAATCGTTCCTTAATTCGTGATCGTTTTGAGGATGAGGATAGTCCTCCTCCATGGATCTCCTCCCAGTCCGGAGCTTTTCCTGTAACCCCAGGGTTAGCATCACGCTGGGCCTCACCATTCCTGCTCTCTGCCTCAGGAGACCCAGAAACCAGCCGGGCTTCACAGGCGCAGGGCCCATCAGATTAGCCGGCTTCGTTAAAACCGTGCCGTCTGCTTCCCTACATCCGGCGCCGCGGCCTCGCTCTGCTTGGCTTCGCTCCAGATCGGCCCTACATAGAGATAACACGGGAATCCTTCGCTCCAGCTGTGAAATCCCGTTCAGTGTGACATAAGGAGGCCTCAGCCATGAACACGGCCACCTGCAGCAGGAGCAGAAACTTTGGTGGAGTCATAGAAGATGATGAAGAGGTGATAGATTCCTATTTTCCAGAGGAAATGGAGTCATATGGTCCTGAAGAAGATTGATTGGGAGGAGATGATCAAAGATCATCATCCTCCAGGTCTGTAGAGCTTCTTTAGTTTCAGACATGCTGCTGCTGTTCAGAGGAAACACTTTCTTTTCTCATGCTCCTGCCTTCAGGATTTATCAGGTTTTTCATTTATTTAAAGAGATTTGAACTTCATTCAGCATTGTAGAACTGCAACAGACAGAAGGAGATCAGATTCTATGTCCTGTTCTCTTCTGTACTCCCTCAGATGGTGAGAACGTTCTCCTTGAAGGGGATGACCAACAAGCTGTTTGGGCAGGAGGCTCCTGAGCAGAGGGAGGCCAAGCTGAACCTGCTAGAAGAGCTGATAGCAGAGGGGGAAGAGGCTGTGAAAGAGAAAACAGCTGAGTGCCAGTAAGTTACAGAGTGTTTGTGAAGGCAGCAGCAAAGGCTGCTGGTTGGAGCTCTGCTCAGGCTCTGTTCCATGTGTCCTTCACCAGGGAGCACGCCGTAAAGGCCTGGGCTGACATCCTGCGTTTCAAGGATCAGAAAGACAAAGACCTGCTGGAGGCGCTCATCAGCTACGCTCTGATGCAGATCAGCATGTGCAAGAAGGTAGAGAGGAGGCTGACCTCTGAGCGCAGCCTCTGAGCTCGGCTCTAACCGTTTCCTTTCTGTCCTCTCTCTCCTTCCAGGGGATACAAGTTTGGAGTAATGCAAGAGAATGTTTCCTCAAGATGTAGAGCTGAGGCCAGGCTGACACTTTCACCTGGTGCTGATGAAAGCACAACACAAAGCAGCCAAATCAGCAGCCTGGGTTCAATGAGACAGAGGCAGACATAGAAAAAGAAGCATAGATACAAAAGATATTCTGATGCATTGAGACGCGGCTGCCTGTGTTAGCTCAGGTATGTACATGTGTGCTGCAAAATGACAAAGGAAATCAATCAGTTTGATTGATTCAGGGAAATGGTTCATTTTAGCTTCAAATGTGGACAATATTTATCTTTACGTATAATACAAAATACTTCATGTTTTATTCCTTCATTTACTATAATTATTATAAATATTTGGTGTGTGAGCAGAAATGCTGCGTTTCAGAGGCAGAATCATAACTGTGATATTTAGAGCTGCAGTTTGGTTGTTTTGCCTGAATAAAAATGTCTACATGTCTCCATGCTGCGTCCTCCTGCACCAGAACATGCCCTGTTTCACTGAACATTTCCCAGGATGCACTGCTGGAGCAGCGTCCCAGACGTCGCAACATGTCACTCTGCGGCCTCATATATGAGATCTATGAGACACAACCAACAAAAACAAGCAGAGTAAACTAGAGGTTTATCTGTCCAGGAGGGAATCGGCTTTATTGCCTCAGTGATACGAGAAATGAAACCAATCATCTAAATGTTCATGTACAAAATATAGAATAACTAATAATACAAAAGGGAAAGTGTCATTGATCAAAGAGAGAAATGCCAGATGTTTCACTGTGAGCTGTAGTGGGAAAGAAGTATTCAACTATTCAATCCAGTTAAATAAACAGAGATCGATGGATTTCACTCAGTCGGCACTTTATTATTTCTTTACAAACAGTTCATCATTCGGCCCTAATGGCACCGTAATCAGCCCTGTTCTGCCTGAGCAGCGTTCGTTTCTCCTTACTTACAACAATGGAAAGTAGTCAGAGCCAAAACTAATTACAGACATTTTGGTTAAACAGTAACATGTTATGAATAAACCTTCAGAAAGAATCTGACTTGTTAAATAAGAAGCTCATGGTCTACAAACACCATCACTTTCTGCGGGTCCAGCTCCTGACCAGCAGGTGGCGCTGATGCATCCACCTGTTGGTTGTTTCCTCCCAGAAGAAGCCTGCTCTTCCGGACCCTTTGCTGCTGCTTCCACGTGAGTCGGAGCTTCACGGCAGAGATGGAGCCTGCAGGTCTGGATCCTGACCCGGATGAGGGGTTCGGAGCCTTCGTGGCTTTGCATGGGGGGGCCCTGCGGTCCTCAGGGGTCCCTCAGCTCTACTGGAGGAGCCTCTACCGCAAGATCACTGAAGAGGTGTGCACTGAGCATGCGCAGATGGAGCGCAGACCATTCGCCTCCTCTGCTCCAGCCGGTCCGGTACCGGTACCAGGGGTAGAACCGGACTGCTGTTTCCCTCTGAAAAGTTCCCGTGCCGGGAGCGCGCATTGGAACCATGAGGCGAATCTGATCAATTCTGGGTAAAAACAGCTCAGATCAAATATAAAGTTCCTCCTCTTAACTAAATAACAGATGTCACCAAATCCACAGGATATGATGATGAGGATGATGAGGATGATGATGATGATGATGATGATGATGATGATGATGATGATGGACTAATCAGTTACAGAGAAATATAATTAGTTCCCATGTTATGGAGGAGAACTGATTATTTCAGGCAGCTGGAATCTCTCCTCCTCCCACATCTTTGGGAAATAAAGAGCAACTATTAAGTTGTATTAAGTATTAAACTTTATGTCCTGCTTTCCATCTCATATCAGCAATGAAAACTATAAATACTCACTATGAGCTGGAAAACTGTGTTTGGTGACTGACTTTTATTTCTGAAGGGACAAATGTTGGGAAAAGACAGATTCTCTTGGTGTTTAAAAAAAACAACAACACAAAACAGCTTAAATGACGTCATCTATGTATTGAACAATATTGTAAGCAACAGCTGCAGTTTAAACTGGATGTTAGAATCATGAAAGGATTCTATAGGAGCTGGTTTTACTGGGAAATGATCAGATAATAATGGTCCCATCCACCTCTGGCTGCAGGGCGCGCTCCCGACACAAGGGGGCAGACTTTAGCAAAGGACCTGGTTGAAATGTTGTGTCTGGTTCTCTGCAGGTTTATGATGCTGGAGAAGTTTTTGGAATAATGCAGGTCCAGGAGGATGAGGAGGATGATGAAGAACCTGGAGAGGAAGAGGAGGAGAGAAAGAAGGGGAACCCAGGGGCTGTGATCAGGTGTAAAGTGGTGGTTACCAGGGCAACGGGACTGCAGGTCAACGATCCAAGCAGGTGAGGAGTAGAAGGTTATCTGTGGGACAAAGGGGGCCGATTATTTCAGAACCTTCTGGTCGTGGCTCAGATGTTCAGAACCGGGATGAAGGACAGCATCTGTGATGAGTGGTTGCCTTGGTAACGGGTCAGCCTAGCAGGGCTCTGTGCAGCGTTGATGTTGCGGG